GGGGGGGGGGGGGGGGGGGGGGGGGTTCGGTTTTTCCTTGCATCCCTAATATAGGGGGTTAGTGTTCTTAGGAGGAAGAGATCATTTTAGGATTGTCCATTGTGGGGCTTGGGAGAGAGATAGCCCTCTCGAAAGGCTATCGTTATATTGTAGTTTCTTTTTCATATTGCAATATATTAGTATTTTGTATTTTTTGTGTTGGGGTACATAACATATACGTCCATTGATTCCATACTTTTTTCTTGCTTAATTTACTTTGGCAGTGTACGAACATTCTCTTTCTCACAATCTCACAATGTGAAACTCATTCCATAAATAACTTCTTTAAGTTTCACCATTTTCCATCATTTATCTTATCTTAATATTGTTCAGATTGGTGGAGGTGAACTTCCTGAGGAGACAACACTTTTCTGTAGTCGTGGTTCGGAAAGGTACATGGCATATAATGTAATTTGCAATGGTTAATCCTATACATTTTCTCCCTCTTAACCTTTCGAAAAGATGAACTTGAAAGGTCAAGGACCGAAATGGAGAATTTAGAGATCTTAAAAGTGTAGGAATGAAGGACGGTTTCAACACGACGACTTAAATGGGATGAACTTGAAATGTCAAGGACCAACATGAAAGGTCAAGTACCGAAATGGACATTTTAGAGATCTTAAAAGTGTAGGAATAAAGGACGGTTTTAACACGATGACTTTAATGGAATGAACTTGAAAGATGAAAGACCGAAATGGACATTTTAGAAGTGTAGGAATGAAGGACAGTTTTAACATGATGACGTAAACGGGATGAACTTGAAAGGTCATGGACCAAAATAGACGTTTTAGAGACCTTAAAAGTGTAGGAATGAAGGACGATTTTAAGCTTCTCATTTTGTGACGTTTAGTGGCAACTAATTGAGACTGAACTTTCTGTTTCTTGTTAACAGTGCTTTGGAGTTCCTCTGTACCAGTAAACTCTCTAACTTAACAGTGAAGGCAGAACTTGGTTGCTGCTTGCTTCACAGAAAGGGAAGATTAATTATTGATGGATGTGTTCTTCAATGTGAGTCAAACCCTTTGGACTACCTATCATGCCCCATTGTTTGTACTGCAAGTCCCGATAAACTATCGTCTTCCTCAGTGAAAGGCGGTTATGCAGATGGCGTTTCTGTTTCACAAACCCGCATCGAGGGTGGTGCCAAAGCTATCCTAACGAGCGAGGACCTTGCGTTACGGCACGTTCGAGTTATTTATGCTCGAACAGCATTGTTCTTTTGGTTTGATGTCGAACACAAGTTGCAATAATTTCCTAGTAATCCATTAGCAATGTGTATCTGTTTCAGCTGGTTAATCCTTAGGTATGGTATATTGGTGATTATTTAACTTGTATGATACTTCTGTTTAGGCTCGTCACATAATCGCTTTTGCCCCTAAATCTTTCGTGATCGCTTTTTTTTTTAATTCTAAACGATTGGAGCTCCGATATGTAATTATTTCGGAAAAAATTTGTTTGATATATTGCATTATTTTCTATTCAACTGTATGATGTGAACTTTTGCACTTAAAAAAATGAACATATATATTGTTATTGTACAGTTAAATATAATTAGACCCGGAATTTTTAAAGTTAGTTATTTGTGACGTATGTTTATTAACTTGCGAGATTGGAGCATTGTCACAATCGTGTTCTTATGAGATGTTTGTAAGTGGTGTGTTCTTATGAGATGTTTGTAAGTGGTGTGGCACTCACTCGTAATAAGTATTAATTCACCTCTTTGATAGTTCAAATTGGTAATATTAAACTCAAAAAAGTAGTAACAAAGTCCAACAAATTAATTGAACAAAAACGAGAAACTTAAAAAGTAGAAGAAACACTCGTAAGAAAACTTGGAAGGCATTCGTGTCTAAAAGACTCAGTTCTGAAGGACCCGATCCACACCATTATTGATTACTCGTTTTGTGCATTTAAGCTCATCGGGAGGGAATCAAAACATTAACTTTGGGCAATAAGCAATGTCTTTATCCACTAAGTTATGCTCAAGTCTTTACTTGTATGCTCCTCCGCTACATTGTTCAGGATTGAACCGAACTAAAATTGACAAAAAATATCAGCGAACACACATGGACGCCCTTTTATGGGAATAACTTTGGTCACGTGAGTTTTAACATGGTAAGAAATCACTTGTCCTTCGTCGGCTTCTATTAAAAGTTCATCTGAACTCACAAACAACAATGGCTTCTCGACTCCTAAAAAAGGACCAATTGTCATTAGTTTTGACCATGAAAAAACATCTTTCTCCATTTCCCAAACCGAGAACGTCTTTTCATTCCCTGCTTTTGAGCCGTGAAATATAACAATTGATCCATTCAACATCCCCATACTTATATACAACAACTCCTCCTCCACTAAATTGTCCGGTACTGAAATTTCGCCAAAAATTTCTTCGCTCAGGTCAAACGTGCGTATAAGATTTCCTTCTATATTTTTTGACCACCAATAAGATTTTTCTTCATGATGCACCTGGGTAGAACCTGTTACCATTATATGCATATAAGTAGAGAATTCAATTTCCCTCCATCTTTCTTTTCTCAACTCCAAAATTTCCACTCCCGGCGGACGATAATATTCTCCATCTAGGTCGCGGAATTGTACAACCCTAACCACTTTGAAGTCCCCAGATTTGGAATCGTATCCGAATCCAACGCAGTCTGTTAATGAAGAATCCGTGTCAGGATCTTCATAGTGAAGAATCGATGATGGAAGCCTACGAAACTTTTCGGTCGTCATATTAAAGAGGAAAATATCTCTATCGCACGAAAGACAAACTAAGCCATGAGAATGACCGCAAATATCAAAATTCGGAAAATCACTTGATGGATTGATGACGTCATGAATGGAAATAGATCGATCAGGGGTGTGGGAAAGCTTGATGATGGAGGGTATATACGTAAAGAATTCAAAATCGATCACTACTCGACGGTTGATATAAATACATTTATCTTGTAAAGAAAATATTGCAGGATCGTTGATCAGAGCGTACCATAATTTGCACACAGACTTAAATTGGAGTAGAGACACTGCGGGAAGCCTTGATAGAATTTCGAACAACAATACTATGGGGAGATCCTTTAGAGTCGCCATTAGAGGGTTCAAGTTTTATTTGACCATCGTTTCATTGTTATATAAGGAAGAGGTGAATGCAAAAAAGGATGAGCTGTCATTTATGTATTTTTGTGCAAACCAAATAACATACCAAAATTAGATCATTTTTGTTTTTTTTATGCAATTCTTAATGGTTAAGGAATAATTAAGAATTTTAATAATAAAATAGTAATAATGAACTTACTTTAAAACATCATATATTATACTTAAACGTTCAAGAAACCGTCACTCACTATACATAGAAATCTAACACGGACTGTAGAGGGTGACCCGACCCGTGACCCAATTTGCAGTCCAAGATGAGCCCCTTCCCAAACTGCAACTGCTTTCAACTAACTCGACCGGGTTCCTTCCTATGCAATGTTATTTTGCCAGTGTCATGCAGAAAGGGCGAGTACTTCTTCCGGCAAGCGCGTCTGTACTCACATATGGAGAGCCTTCTTGCATGCGTGTAGGTCTTGCATGCGTGTAGGTGCGTGATAACATGTGAGGTGCTCCTTTTTCCGTTTGACCTCTGTTCAACTATCTATATTACATAGATAATTTTGATTACCTTATTTTCAATTATTATCGATGTAATTTTATGATTTTTTTTCCTAGGTTCCTCGAGGCATTCTAAGCATTTTTTTTGTCCTTCTGCAACCATTGGAAATTCAACCTCTAAGGTCCTCAATAAAATCTCAACCGCTCGAAATTTAAAAGCGAATGAAGGAAAATTTTTGTATCTATTGGGCTAGGGGGATTACAATAGGTACTAAAAAATGTGTCTGTCACTGTTTCTATTAAGAATGAGAAATAGAAATAGAATTTGGATGGTATGATCTTCATCAATGTTTACCACATTTTAAATAGGATAGAAACTACCAACTAATACCTAAAAATGAGGAAAAATATATAACTATAAATAAGATAAAATAACTCCCAAAATATCTAAGATATACTCCCTAACTAATTATTAAAATATATCTCCAAATATCATATCTTAATACTCCCCCTCATGTTGGAGAGTGTATGTCAATCACACCCAACTTGTCCTTCAAAAAAATCAAACGGATGTCTTCCCAAAGCTTTAGTGAGAACATCTGCCAATTGCATTTTAGTCGAGACATAACACGGTTTGATGATTCCAGCTTGTAACTTTTCTCGAACTATATGACAATCTATTTCAATGTGTTTTGTACGTTCGTGAAAAACTGGATTGGCTGCTATATGTAATGCTGCTTGATTATCACAATATAATAACGCTGGTTCGGATAGTGGAACATTCAAGTCTTGAAGAATGTATCTGAACCAAGTTAACTCTAAACAAGTATTTGTCATAGCTCGATACTCGGCTTCTGCTGATGATCTGGACACATTAGTCTGCTTTTTAGACTTCCAAAAAATAATTGAATTTCCGAGGAAAATGCAGAACCCAGAAATATACTGTCTGGAAGTTCGACAACCACCCCAGTTAGAATCGCAATATGCTTGTAATCTTAAATTGTTTTTAGATGGTAGTAGGAGTCCTTGACCATGAGTACCTTTGATGTATCTCAGAACTCGAAGAGCTGCCTCCCAATGTGGTTTTCTTGGTTCATGCATAAATTGACTAAGCATACGAACTGAATAAACTATGTCAGGCCTAATGTGGTTTTCTTGGTTCATGCATAAATTGACTAAGCATACGAACTGAATAAACTATGTCAGGCCTAGTAACGGTCAAATATATTAATGTTAAATTGACTAAGCATACGAACTGAATAAACTATGTCAGGCCTAGTAACGGTCAAATATATTAATGTGGTTTTCTTGGTTCATGCATAAATTGACTAAGCATACGAACTGAATAAACTATGTCAGGCTTAGTAACGGTCAAATATATTAATCTGCCAATTAACCATCTGTATTTACTTGGATCATTCAACTTCTCTCCTTCAGTTAAAAGAAAGTTTCAGATTTTGCTCCATAGGAAAGTTTTCTGGACGTGCTCCTGTAAGACCGGTGTCTTGAAGGATATCTAGAGCATACTTTCTTTGAGACATAAAAATTTCTTTTCTAGACCGAGAAAATTCAATGCCTAGAAAATATTTCAAGTTCCCTAAATCTTTGATAAGGAATTTCTTGAGTAAACTAGTCTTGAGGTATTGAATTTCTTTGAAATCATTGCATGTCAACAGAATATCATCAACATAGATTAGAATTGCAGTGAAAGAAGTGAAAGAAGTACCTCTACTCTTAGTAAATAAAGAGTAATCTGTTTTGGACTGAGTGTAGCCTGCATTTTGTATAGTGATAGAAAATATGGAGAATCAATTGCGAGAAGCCTGTTTTAATCCATAAAGAGATTTATGGAGCCGACATATTGTATACTCCCCCTGTCGGCGAAGACCTAGTGATAAAAACATATAGACTTCCTCGTCTAGATTACCATGGAGAAAGGCATTTTGAACATCCAACTGATGGGTGAACCATTTTCGAGCAGCAGCAACAATGAGTAAGCAACGAAGTGTAGTAAGTTTCGTTGTAGTTGAAAATGTCTCTGTGTAATCAATACCTTCAACCAACAGAACCATCAGAGTTGTAATAATTCGAACCTACGCGCGGAGAGCTCAATTGATTTCAAACCTGTCGCATTAGCCACTCAAGCACATCAACATTTATTAGATAGAACTATGTTTAATATCATAAATGATGTAAAAGTCAAATGGTCAATTTGACTTATTCTTTTGTGGAGATTAAAGGGGATCGAGAATAAATCCCGTCCACAAACGTCTCAAATAAATCCCGTCCATAAACGTCTTTTGTCGGGAGACTATAAATACCTACAATATGTTATGTAAAATCCAGATTCGTGGATGAATGTAATTCTGATCTCAAATTGAGACGTTTCCCTTAGAAATCCGAGCATTATATTTGTCATTTCTAAGTTTCAAGCAATTCTTGTGGTAGAATTGCACCCGAGCCATTCAATCAAGCCTTAATCAAGTTAGATTGTGGAGTGACTCAATTTAGAACAATGTTTCCAAATCTTGCTTCTAGATCTTCGATCGTAAGCGGTAATCTAATTATAGCCTTATCTCTTGTTTGATCCAAATTTCGTATAAGGAGGTGTTAATTACTTTGATTCAAGGGTTCTTACTTCAACAAAAGCTTAGATCGTTGGGCTGAGGATTAGGGTTGCCTTATCAAGGAACGAGAGACCAAGTATGATTACGTTCCAAAGCTGCAATTTCATCATTCATAGCCTGCTGCCATAACGGGTCACCAACTGCCTCGTCATAGGTTTTAGGATCTGTCTGGGATGTAATAAGAGCTAGAAAAGCACGTTGAGTAGGAGAAAAACGAGAGAATGAAAGGTAATGATGAAGTGGATACCTGGTGCCAGTGCTGGGACCTGAGCTAGAGGTTAAATGATTGGTTCCAGAAGACATCTCATAATCCTTATGCCAAGCTAGAGGTTGTTTAGTACGAGTAGAACGTCGGAGTGGAACTGATGTATCAGGTGAGATAGGATTAGAATTAGTGGGTGAATCTGGAGAAGGAGCAGAAGGTGGAGAAGACGACGAAGTAGTAGGTGAAGGAATAGGAGATGAAGGAGGAATAGGATCATGAAGTGGTACAATAGGAGTCGAAGGACCTAATGTCAAAGTTTGTGAAGCTGATGAAAAAGAAAAATTATCTTCACAAAATTTAACATCACGGCTGATAAATAATTTGTGAGATTGCGTGTCATACAACTTGTAACCTTTATGACCACAAGGATATCCTACGAAAACACAAGAAATTGCCCAATGTTCAAATTTTTGCTTAGGATGTACTATAGTTGCATAACATTTACAACCAAAAACTTTAAGATGATGAAATGTAGGTGGTCGTTTGTAGAGTGCTTCAAAGGGTGTCTTGTTAGATAGCAATGGTGATTGCGTTCTATTTATAAGATAAACAGCAGTTAAAATGCACTCTCCCCAAAAATTAAGTGGAACCTGTGACTGAAAGAGAAGAGCCCTAGCTATATTTAGGATATGACGATGCTTACGTTCTACGACTCCATTTTGTTGTGAAGTATAGACACAAGTGCGCTGAAATTCAATGCCACAAGAAGTAAAAAATGGTTGCAAAGATAGGAACTCAATCCCATTGTTTGATCGAACTATTTTGATAGTAGTATGAAATTGAGTTTGAACGAATTTAACAAAGTTCATTAACAAATGATGTACTTCTGACTTATGTTGCATTAGAAAAACCCAAGTACATCGAGTAAAATCATCAACAATAGTGAGAAAAAGACGCAAACCATAATGGGTAGGAATTTTATGTGGTCCCCAAACATCACAATGTATCAAATCAAAGGCAGAATGGGTTGTTATTGAACTTCTAGGGAAAGACAACCTAGTTTGTTTTGCTAACGGACAGATACTACAGTTATGAGAATAACTAGCATTATTAAGATGCAATTGATCAGCTAGAAATTTAAAACGAGAAAAAGAAGGATGACCTAGGCGTAAATGCCACAAATCAGATGACTGAGATATTTGATGAGCTAAAGATTTGATTGGAGATGAAGAAATATGATAGAGACCTCCAAATTGTTTACCCGAGCCAAACATCTTCCCCGCAGCCAAGTCCTGCATAACACAAGAATCAGGATAGAAGGTGACATAATTGACATAACATTTCAAGTCATTGGTAAGTTTGCTGATGGACATTAGGTTTAAATTGAATGAAGGCACACATAAAACATTGTTTAATTTAAGGTCAGGGCTAAGGGAAATATTGCCAGTATGCGACACACGTGCTGTCCGTCCATTAGGTAAATTTATTGTAGACATGATGGCAGTCTTTGGTTCAGTCATAATAGAAGATTTTGATATTATATGATCCGTAGCTCCACTATCGAGAATCTATGAATTAGAACTCGCAGAGTTAATAGATAATGTAGATACTGGAAACAAACTTGCAACATTGATGTGATTGTCAGAATTACCAGCAGGGTGATAGATTGATTGCAGATAAGGCTTGTGCTATCTGTTGTAATTGCTCAGAAGAAAAATTTGGAATGAAATTAGGTGACTGGTTCTTTTGTATTCAACTGAAAAACATCGGCCATATTTGCAGATGATCGATATCCACAATTGTTGCGTTGATTGACTTTTCTTGCCCTTCCATAATTATTTTTCTGTTGACAACGATCTTCTGTATGTCCCCTTCTATCACAAAATTTACAGTGGAACTCAAGGATTCGACACTCATTAATTGTATGACCACTTTTATTGCAGTGTTCACATGATTTGTCCTTTGCGAATTTTGAATACGTTGTTTTCTTCTGCGCTGCTGATGCCATCGAGAAATTCTCAGTAAGTTCAGAAGTTACCTGACGCTGCATCTCTTCTTGTACAAGTAATGAATAGGCTTGCCTCACATTAGATAATAGAGTCATCATTAGTATGTTAGAATCTCACCGTTTTATAAAACTCATTGAGCCCCATGAGCAATTGCATCAACTTGTCTTCTTCGCGTTGATCAACATGCATTTGACGTTGATTACAGGTAAATGGTGTGTGGTATGCTTCCAGTTCATCCCAGAGTGCTTTGAGCTTGGTGAAATATGCTGACAGTGCCATGGTTCCTTGTGACATCGTTGCTATCGACTTTTGTATCTGAAAAATTGCTCGGGCATTCTTTTGTGAGAATTGATCGTGAAGATCAACCCACACTTGATGAGCTGTCTTGGCGTGAAGAATGCTTATATCTGCTTCAACGGAATGAGTTAACCAAAATATTATCATACTGTTGCACTGATCCAAAGTTCAAATTCGTTTGAATTTGCATCTTGAGACGATTCTTCAATTGTGCCATCAGTGAAGCCAATTTTCTTCCTGGCAACAAGAGCATCCATAACTGATTTACTCCAAGATTGGTAATTTGCTCCATTTAATTTGATTGGAACGAGTGAATATCCTAACTGATCAGAGTGATGAATATAATAAGGATGTGTTAAATCAACATCCGAAATTTTGAAGCTGGATTTGGCTGATTCCGGCATAAAGGAAATTTTGATATTTAAGAACACGGTGCTCTGATACCATGTTAAGAATGAGAAATAGAAATAGAATTGGGATCGAAATTACGATGTTTATTAGTGTTTACCACGTTTGAAATAGGATACAAACTATCAACTAATACCTACCAATGAGGAAAAAATATATAACTAAGTAACTCTTGTAAATAAGACTGTTAATCAAATCTAAGATAAAGTATACTAGAAACAACTCCCAAAATATCTAAGATATACTCCCTAACTAATTATTAAAGCATTATCTCCAAATATCATATCTTAATAGTTACATCTGCATGCAGTCGAGATTGAAATGAGAGAAGATAGTTGATAATCACATGATTTGGTCCACTAATTCTCTGGCAATTATAGGCATGGCGAAGGATTTGCAGATCTCTGGGTCCAATGGTCTAGTTTGGATCACTATCGATCGGTTGAACCTATTTGATGTCATGTGAGCTAATTAATGATGTCATGTGAGCTAATTCACATGAGTTTATTTCAATGGTTAGATTCACATCGTCTACCTCGTTTGAATTTTTCTTAGACCCCAAGAGAATTACCCCATCTTATATAATTTATACTATTTAGACATCATACTAGTAGATCATCTCACGTAGTGTAACAGCTCAAGTCCACCGCTAATAAATATTGTCCTCTTTGGGCTTTCCCTCTCGAACTTCTCTTCAAAGGTTTTAAAATGCGTTGTTGAAGAAAAATGACAAAAAGTAGAAATTAATATTGACCATTAGATTGGATTAGAAGAGAAATGACCGGTGGTAGAGAGTAAGGAGGGTCTACAAAATTGAATAGCTTCGAAAAGGGAAAAAAATAGTTTAAATAAAAAGAAATGGAGATGGAGATTAAAAGTAAATAATAACAAAATTTTCAAATTTATTATTATTATTATTATTTTAAATATAATAATATAACATAATAAAAATCAAGAAGTAATAATTAGATTTAAATTTATATTAGATATAAATAATTTTATTTAAAAATCTATAAAAAAAACTCCGACCTTTTATTATTTTGGTAAATGAGATTTTAGTTTCATGATTTGTTCATCAGGTCAACATATCTGGTAATTTCTTTGTTTTAGCATTGATTTTAAGAATGTGTTTTTATTAAATTTGTGATCATGAATTTATAATTATTATAATAAATTAAAATAATTATATTTGCTTAATTGACAAAAAACTCCTGGGCTGGGCTGGGCTTGCCATTTAGAAAATGAAGGCTCTGACAAAAAAACTCCTGGGCTGGGCTGGGCTAGCCATTTAGAAAATGAAGGCTCTGGCAAAAAAACTCCTGGGCTGGGCTGGGCTAGCCATTTAGAAAATGAAGGCTCTGGCAAAAAAACTCCTGGGCTGGGCTGGGCTAGCCATTTAGAAAATGAAGGCTCTGGCAAAAAAACTCCTGGGCTGGGCTGGGCTAGCCATTTAGAAAATGAAGGCCCAGCTAAGTGACATAAAACTCGTGAGGTGGGCTGGGCTGGGCTGGGCTTGCCATTTAGAAATTGAAGGCCCAGCTAAGTGACATAAAACTCGTGAGCTGGGCTGGGCTGGGCTGGGCTGGGCTTGCCATTTAGAAATTGAAGGCCCAGCTAAGTGACATAAAACTCGTGAGTTGGGCTGGGCTGGGCTGGGCTGGGCTAGCCATTTAGAAATTGAAGGCCCAGCTAACGAGTAAATGACAGAAACTAACTAATTCATAATCACTATAATACATTCTTATTTAAAATAGAGAAATTTGAGGAAGAAAAAAAACAATAATGAAATAATTGTTATGTAAATCAAATATTTATAATTAGAAATACTTTTATCAATTAAAACGGTGCACTTTAATAGATGAACTAATTTAATTATCTAATTTTCTTAACGTAAAGAAATTTATCATTAAAAAAAAATATATATATCAATTTTATGAGATTTGTGCACGGATGACATATAAAGTAATTTATTTATTTTTTTTCATACAAGTCTTACACATCTCACAATAGAGTGGTTATGGAAAAAACAAACTGTTTTGGGCAGTTGGCAAAAGGACAATCAATAATGGTTGCACCATCCTTATCGAAGCATAATACTATTTCATGCAATTGGGTCTGTTTAGTGTTTTGATTGGTGTTGCAACGAAGCCCTGGCTTCTTTCCGGTTGCAGCTTTAATGGCATTTTCGATGACATGATATTGGCGGAATATGTTGCCGGTCGGACCGAGATTGGCGGCATTCAAAATAGCCAGTAAGTCGTATTTGGGGTTTGTGCGAATGTTGAGAGCTGTTTGAAAATATTGAACCTGGTTAAAAACATTCTCCGAACATGCTCCATGTTTATCCCATTCCTTTCTCCAAAAACTTTTGTGGCTCCCTTTTTTCAAGTTTGGCCAATAATACACGAGAGCTGGTTTGAGTGCACTAAATCCCTGAGCAGAAAAAGAGAAAAAAAGAAGGAAAAAAAAAAAAATGTTAGAATCATCATCAAGTATGAGTCATTTTGTATATGGAAGGTACCTGAATGGTTTCAGAAAATTTTGTTCCTCCGCTGCAAACAAGGTAGGGCTTGGTGTAGTTAGCCGGCCATAGGCCATGGATGGTGAACCTAGTTGGAGTTGGTAGTTGACCACAATGGACATTGGTACATGTGGCCGGTGGCCACTGTTGCACCAATTGAAACAATTCAAATTGGGCATTCACAGAGAAGATGAGAGTGGAGAGGGAGAGGGAGAGGGAGAGGAGGATGAGATGAGTATGAGCCATGGAGAGAATAAAGAAAAGTTAAGGGATGGTATACACAAATTGAAATGGCAATATATATATATATATAATAGACCAAATGGAGAGGAGAGGAGAGGAGAGCATTGGAGAAGAAGGGAGAAAAATAAAAAGATAAAAAAGGAAAATACATATGAGTGAAAATTACTAGTTTTAGAAACCTCAAACAAATTTCAAGTATACGTCAATTTTAATTTATAGGTCAACTTTATTTATTTATTTTTTTTTTTTTTATGATTCAAATTCAATTAAGGTTCTTATTTCTCAAGCATTCTTATGCATGCTTGGTTTATGTTAATTTTTTTAATTAATTATCAATTCAATTTTTGAACCCCAATTCATTCGGTTCGGTTCGGCTTCGGGTTCACTGGACAACAACCTCGACTTAAATGGGATGAACTTGAAAGGTCAAGTACCGAAATGGACATTTTAGAGATCTTAAAAGTGTAGGAATAAAGGACGGTTTTAACACGATGACTTTAATGGAATGAACTTGAAAGATGAAAGACCGAAATGGACATTTTAGAAGTGTAGGAATGAAGGACAGTTTTAACATGATGACGTAAACGGGATGAACTTGAAAGGTCATGGACCAAAATAGACGTTTTAGAGACCTTAAAAGTGTAGGAATGAAGGACGGTTTTAACACGATGACTTTAATGGAATGAACTTGAAAGATGAAAGTCCGAAATGGACATTTTAGAAGTGTAGAAATGAAGGACAGTTTTAACATGATGACGTAAACGGGATGAACTTGAAAGGTCATGGACCAAAATAGACGTTTTAGAGACCTTAAAAGTGTAGGAATGAAGGACGATTTTAAGCTTCTCATTTTGTGACGTTTAGTGGCAACTAATTGAGACTGAACTTTCTGTTTCTTGTTAACAGTGCTTTGGAGTTCCTCTGTACCAGTAAACTCTCTAACTTAACAGTGAAGGCAGAACTTGGTTGCTGCTTGCTTCACAGAAAGGGAAGATTAATTATTGATGGATGTGTTCTTCAATGTGAGTCAAACCCTTTGGACTACCTATCATGCCCCATTGTTTGTACTGCAAGTCCCGATAAACTATCGTCTTCCTCAGTGAAAGGCGGTTATGCAGATGGCGTTTCTGTTTCACAAACCCGCATCGAGGGTGGTGCCAAAGCTATCCTAACGAGCGAGGACCTTGCGTTACGGCACGTTCGAGTTATTTATGCTCGAACAGCATTGTTCTTTTGGTTTGATGTCGAACACAAGTTGCAATAATTTCCTAGTAATCCATTAGCAATGTGTATCTGTTTCAGCTGGTTAATCCTTAGGTATGGTATATTGGTGATTATTTAACTTGTATGATACTTCTGTTTAGGCTCGTCACATAATCGCTTTTGCCCCTAAATCTTTCGTGATCGCTTTTTTTTTTTAATTCTAAACGATTGGAGCTCCGATATGTAATTATTTCGGAAAAAATTTGTTTGATATATTGCATTATTTTCTATTCAACTGTATGATGTGAACTTTTGCACTTAAAAAAATGAACATATATATTGTTATTGTACAGTTAAATATAATTAGACCCGGAATTTTTAAAGTTACGTATGTTTATTAACTTGCGAGATTGGAGCATTGTCACAATCGTGTTCTTATGAGATGTTTGTAAGTGGTGTGTTCTTATGAGATGTTTGTAAGTGGTGTGGCACTCACTCGTAATAAGTATTAATTCACCTCTTTGATAGTTCAAATTGGTAATATTAAACTCAAAAAAGTAGTAACAAAGTCCAACAAATTAATTGAACAAAAACGAGAAACTTAAAAAGTAGAAGAAACACTCGTAAGAAAACTTGGAAGGCATTCGTGTCTAAAAGACTCAGTTCTGAAGGACCCGATCCACACCATTATTGATTACTCGTTTTGTGCATTTAAGCTCATCGGGAGGGAATCAAAACATTAACTTTGGGCAATAAGCAATGTCTTTATCCACTAAGTTATGCTCAAGTCTTTACTTGTATGCTCCTCCGCTACATTGTTCAGGATTGAACCGAACTAAAATTGACAAAAAATATCAGCGAACACACATGGACGCCCTTTTATGGGAATAACTTTGGTCACGTGAGTTTTAACATGGTAAGAAATCACTTGTCCTTCGTCGGCTTCTATTAAAAGTTCATCTGAACTCACAAACAACAATGGCTTCTCGACTCCTAAAAAAGGACCAATTGTCATTAGTTTTGACCATGAAAAAACATCTTTCTCCATTTCCCAAACCGAGAACGTCTTTTCATTCCCTGCTTTTGAGCCGTGAAATATAACAATTGATCCATTCAACATCCCCATACTTATATACAACAACTCCTCCTCCACTAAATTGTCCGGTACTGAAATTTCGCCAAAAATTTCTTCGCTCAGGTCAAACGTGCGTATAAGATTTCCTTCTATATTTTTTGACCACCAATAAGATTTTTCTTCATGATGCACCTGGGTAGAACCTGTTACCATTATATGCATATAAGTAGAGAATTCAATTTCCCTCCATCTTTCTTTTCTCAACTCCAAAATTTCCACTCCCGGCGGACGATAATATTCTCCATCTAGGTCGCGGAATTGTACAACCCTAACCACTTTGAAGTCCCTAGATTTGGAATCGTATCCGAATCCAACGCAGTCTGTTAATGAAGAATCCGTGTTAGGATCTTCATAGTGAAGAATCGATGATGGAAGCCTATGAAACTTTTCGGTCGTCATATTAAAGAGGAAAATATCTCTATCGCACGAAAGACAAACTAAGCCATGAGAATGACCGCAAATATCAAAATTCGGAAAATCACTTGATGGATTGATGACGTCATGAATGGAAATAGATCGATCAGGGGTGTGGGAAAGCTTGATGATGGAGGGTATATACGTAAAGAATTCAAAATCGATCACTACTCGACGGTTGATATAAATACATTTATCTTGTAAAGAAAATATTGCAGGATCGTTGATCAGAGCGTACCATAATTTGCACACAGACTTAAATTGGAGTAGAGACACTGCGGGAAGCCTTGATAGAATTTCGAACAACAATACTATGGGGAGATCCTTTAGAGTCGCCATTAGAGGGTTCAAGTTTTATTTGACCATCGTTTCATTGTTATATAAGGAAGAGGTGAATGCAAAAAAGGATGAGCTGTCATTTATGTATTTTTGTGCAAACCAAATAACATACCAAAATTAGATCATTTTTGTTTTTTTTATGCAATTCTTAATGGTTAAGGAATAATTAAGAATTTTAATAATAAAATAGTAATAATGAACTTACTTTAAAACATCATATATTATACTTAAACGTTCAAGAAATCGTCACTCACTATACATAGAAATCTAACACGGACTGTAGAGGGTGACCCGACCCGTGACCCAATTTGCAGTCCAAGATGAGCCCCTTCCCAAACTGCAACCGCTTTCAACTAAGTCGACCTGGTTCCTTCCTATGCCAATGTTATTTTGCCATTGTTTTATAGAAAGTGCGAGGACTCCTTCCTCCAACTGTCGCTGTTGAAAAAGATTTTCTGAATATCATATCACTGTCGATCTAAGATCATAGATATAATATGATCTTAGGCTAGATTCATTCTTTGTTTTTGGAATATATGTTAGATTCATTCTTTGTATATGGAATATATGTTAGATTCACATCGTCTACCTTTGTTTGAATTTGTCTTAGACCCAAGAGAATTACCCCATCTTATATAATTTATACTATTTAGGACAACGTAGTGTAATAGCCCAAGTCCACCGCTAGTAAATATTGTCTTCTTTGGGCTTTCCCTCTCGGGTTCTCTTCAAAGTTTTTAAAATGCGTTAGAGAGGTTTCCACACCTTTATAAAGGATGTTTCATTCTTCTCTCCAACCGATGTGGGATATTACATATATGTACAAGAAGTAACTTTGACAGTTGATGACCTTATTTAGAATTTGGTACATACCGAGAGTATCTCCATATGTGTACGTTGTTGGATCGCTATATCAACCTAGAGGGGTGAATAGAGTTTTAACGATAAATGATAGTTTTTAAAGATAATAGAAAATAATAATTAATACAACAAAATAGTTTAAGTCAAAACAATACCGGCAATAAATCACAATAATAATTTTGAAATTAAATAAGGAAGAGTTAAAAGATATGACACCATAGTCCTACTCCATTCCCCAAGCGCCTCTTGAGAATTTGAATAAAGAATTTTCTCTACTCTTTCTACATATCAGAGTCCAACCGCTCCACCCAAATGCCATCTATGTTCTCGACTCTTTCTCGATGGATATGACATTTGTTGTTCATGGTCTTGGTCTTCTCCAATAATATTGTTTAGATGAGTATATTTTGATTTTATAACAAATACCTTAAATTATTTGTATAAATTATCAAAATTAAAAAAAAATATTTAATCGTGATATAATTATAATTTTTAGTCATTTATTACGAACCAATTTTTCTTTTTAATTCTTGCAGCTTAGGTACGGGTAAAAATAACCACCAAACCAAACCAATACCACGAAATCCACCTAAGAGTAAGCTCAACAAATGGACAGTTGAAAGAAAATTAACTCCAGACAGAGGCTCGACCCAAGAATTGGTTCACACCTAAAGCTAGTTCGGAAATCCCGAGTATAGGTGGAGTATCAAAACTACGCCTCAATATAGAAGCACGACTTGAGAGTTGATCCGAGCCCACGAATAGAAAGGGATGTTCTTAGGCATTCTCACACCTACAACTTGTTTGAAAAGCTTGAGCGTATGCACGACCAAAACTTACATCCTCTTTTGGATGAATATGACAAGACACGAACCAATCAATGTCAAAAAAAAAAAATGTTATGACCAAAATAATTATTTTTTAAAAGTCCTAACAAATTCAACTATTCTATTTTTAAAAGTTTAGAAATAAAAATGGATATTTTAGAATATAAATTATTAAAATAGAAAAAAAAATTAAATTAAGAATATATATATATATATATATATATTAGTTTCTTCCCGAAACCGGGCGCCTGCGAGCCGTCCATAAGATGATTCATAATTCAATCATAACCACAGCGTTCATCACAGAGCGCTGCCGCTTTCCAACGCTCGTTTAAACTATAATTTTCTCTTTTTCTCTCTTCTGGGTATTTCGTTTGGCGATTGAAAAAGTTCAAAAAAGCTCTGAAAATTTCCCTTTCGATCATAATAAAATCAATTTTCAGAATTTCGAGGACACTGAAGCCGGCCTGCTTGTTATGGGCAAGGAGAGAAGGGCCCGCACGTCTTAATTTCTCTCTTTTTCTTTCACTTTTTGTTCTTTCTCGAGAAATTTCCCTCTAATCCTCTAATCTCTTCTGTTCTTCATACGCTCCTCTTTCCTCTCTCTCCCTATCACCCTTTAATTTGAATTTTCGCGGCTCCCAAACGTGTAATATCTCTGTGTATTATCTCTTTTTATGCTGTTTCTTGTCGTATCACACCCCGAGTCTGATTATCTTTTGAGGTATTTCTTGTTTTTGTTTGTTCTTCTTTGATTTCTTATGGGGTTTTTGAGTCGTTATGATTTGGGGTTTGCGTTATTTCTGGTTTTATTATTGTCTTGTGTTGTTTGAGGTCTTTGATTTTGGATGTTCTAATCTGCATTCCGTTTGTTGGTTGTCTCATTGTGACTCTGGATATTTGTTGTTCATATTTTTTTTGTGTTGTTCTTCTTTTGGAGCTCTGGATTTAGAAAATTTGTTGATATCATAACATTAAAGTTTTGGGTAATGATAGTTGAATTGGTTCCTTTGGGTTTTATTTTGTGTTTTTCATTCATTTATTCCATCGGATTAACGGTTCCATTCTCATGATTCTGAACTTGGAGGTATTCCATAAATTGCTCGAGCTTCTTGTTCTTGTTCTTTTTCTCCGTTGGATTTGGGTGTTCTGGTTTCTTGTCTAATGGCTTGAGATGCTTTCTTTTTCTTGTAGTGAAGCATCTTTGTGGTTAGTAATTCATAGTTTTTATGTTTTGGTTTGCAATTTGCTAAGTTTGGGTGAAGGTAATGTTGAGGATTGTTGGGAGGGAGTCCTACGTTGGCTAATCTAGGGAATGATCGTGGGTTTATAAGTGAGGAATACTTCTCCATTGGTATGAGGCCTTTTGGGGAAGCCCGAAGCAAAGCCATGAGAGCTTATGCTCAAAGTGGACAATATCATACCATTGTGGAGATCCGTGATTCCTAATAGGGTATTAGAGTCATGCCCTTAGCTTAGTCATGTTAATAGAATTCTCAAATGTTGAACAAAGAAAGTTGTGAGTCTCGAAGGTGTAGTAAAAAATTGACTCAAGTGTCGAACAAATGGTGTACTTTGTTCGAGGACTCCATAGGCCTCGGGGAAGGCTCTATAGTGTACTTTGTTTGAGTAGAGGATTGTTGAGGATTGTTGGGAGGGAGTCTCACATTCACTGATTTAGGTAATATTCGTGAGTTTATAAGTACGTAATATATCTCCATTGGTATGAGGCCTTTTGGGAAGCTTGAAGCAAAGCCACGAGAGTTTATACTCAACGTGGACAATATCATACCATTGGGGAGATCCGTGATTCCTAACATGGTATCAGAGTAATGCCCTTAACTTAGCCATGTCAATAGAATCCTCAAATGTGGAACAAAGAAAGTTGTGAGTCTCGAAGGTATAGTCAAAAGTGACTCAAGTGTCGAACAAAGAGTGTTCTTTGTTCGAGTACTCCAGAAAAGAAGTCGAGCCTCGATTAAGGGGAGACTGTTTGAGGGCTCCATAGACCTTGTGGGAGGCTCTATAATGTTCTTTGTTCGAGGAGAGGATTATTGAGGGTTATTGGGAGGGAGTTCCACATTGGCTAATTTAGGGAATGATCATGGGTTTATAAGTAAGTAATACATCTCCATGGTTACGAGGTCTTTTGGGGAAGCCCAAAGCAAAGCCAATGAGAACTTATACTCAAAGTGGACTATATCCATTGTGGAGAGTCGTTATTCCTAAAAAGTAACCCTTCACTCTTTATCGATGGGTTTTGGCTTCTGATAGCCCCTAGAGCTTTACTAGAACACGTCCTTATCTGGTGAAGCACTCTTCTCAAGAAGCTTAGTTGCTGTGAAGATGTTCTTATACTTGCAAGTTCTTGTTCATACTTTTCTTAACTCATGTTTATGGATGTAGGCATTCTATTGATTAAAATGTCGTTTGCAAATCCTTATTTTGAAGACGTTCGGACGAAACCGGAGGTAATCGATCCTCCCCAAGATGAGGACATGATGGATGTTAGTGAAAGTGTTAGTGATCCTACTCGAAATGGAGGAAAGCCTAATGTAGCTGTCTCCAGCAGCGTTCGTGAGCTGTTGGAGTGTCCTGTTTGCTTGAATGTTATGTACCCTCCCATTCATCATGTCTGTTGCCATCTTTTCAAAATCTTTTGAACGAAATTGCTTACTTTTTTTGAATTCCTTTAATCTAATTTGTCGAGACGACATTGGCCTTTTTCTTAAAGGCGTCTAAGGAAGGTACCATATAGGTGAACGTATTCATTAGTTTAAACGAACAACTAGAAGCCATACCGTACCTTGGAAGATAGATGATTTTGTGATAAGGAATCACTACAAAAGAAGTAAGATTTGGATTATTTTGTTATCAAATATCACAAGCAAAATTGATTGTGTCAAGCTTGAATGATTCTAAACATGCAATCTAAACTACGTAGAGTTGAAAAAAAAAAAAAAAGAACTTAGCCCTCGGATAAAGAAAAGGTAAGAACGGTGAGATCTCTAGTGAGGACACTGGGCCCCGAAGTTGGGTTGATTGCAAGATCCCACATCGGTTGGAGAGGGTAACAAAACATTCTTTATAAGGGTGTGGAAACCTCTCCCTAACAGACACGTTTTAAAAACTTTGAGGGGAAAGGGAAAGCCCAAAGGGACAATATTTGCTAGCGGTGTGCTTGGGCTATTACAAAAACACTTAGCTCTGATGATGGAAACTAAAATTCGGATTACCTTGTTGATCAAATACCTCAAGGTAAGAACACTTTATTTGAGATACGAATCACTCCACAAGCAAGATCGATCATATCAAGCTTGAATGATTCTAAACATGCAATCTAAATTACATAGAATTGCAAAGAAACTTAGTCATTGGCTAAAAGAAAACACAAATGCTCTTTTTACTCGTCCCTTTCACAAAGACAACATATACCGCTATATATAGCTTCAAAATAAAAACCTTAACCTTAGGCATTTCAAGAGCCGTAACTTTCATAGTATAACAGGTTAGATGTATGATCGGGATGATATCTACCGTGTTAATACCACCTAAAATCAACGTTGAAATCTTACTTTCTTAATATAGTTGTGCTTTGCATGTATGTAATCTGCTACTTGCTCAGAACCTTCATTTTGGCATTTGAGTTGTGCTCCCTTTTAACCTGAGTTGATTGTTCGCCTTGGTTCATATTGATTAACGTTCTGTCATTGCAGTGTTCGAATGGTCACACATTGTGTTCGGGTTGCAAGCCTAGGGTGCACAACCGGTGCCCGACCTGCAGGCATGAACTTGGCAATATCAGATGTCTTGCATTAGAGAAAGTGGCTGCATCTTTGGAACTTCCATGTACATATCAAACCTTTGGGTGCGCGGGCATATACCCGTACTATAGCAAGCTGAAACATGAATCTCAATGTGCCTATCGACCCTATAACTGTCCGTATGCGGGGTCGGAATGCATGGTTGTTGGTGATATTCCATTTTTGGTAGCACACCTAAAGGATGATCACAAAGTCGACATGCATAATGGGAGCACTTTCAATCATCGATACGTCAAGTCAAACCCGCAGGAGGTCGAAAATGCTACCTGGATGCTAACGGTACTATTCTACTTCATATTATTAGTCATTTTTGGGTTAAACATGTATTCAAATGAAGCTTTCGTTATCAAGAATGAGCGTATTAGCTAGAAGAGACTAACGAATCGAGTTCATAGGTTGTAAATATTGAGATGTCTAATACAAAACTGATACCGTTTTTTCGGTTGACTTGTAGGTTTTCAGCTGTTTTGGTCATTATTTTTGTTTACATTTCGAAGCTTTCCAACTCGGAATGGCACCTGTCTATATAGCCTTCTTGCGCTTCATGGGTGACGATAACGAGGTGAAGAACTACAGTTATAGCCTTGAGGTTGGTGGAAATGGGAGGAAGATGGTTTGGCAAGGAGTGCCACGGAGTATTCGAGACAGTCATCGGAAGGTGCGAGACAGCTTTGACGGGCTTATTATCCAACGAAACATGGCTCTGTTCTTCTCGGGCGGAGATCGGAAGGAATTGAAGCTGAGGGTAACTGGTAGGATTTGGAAGGAGCAGTGAAAGTGTAGGTATGTTTAGGTGTCCTTAGAAAGTAAAGGAGGCTAAATAGAGAGAATGATAATATAGACGTCCAACCATGTAATGTAATATAGTTGTTCAAATACATCAACTGGAAAGCCTGTGTTCTTTACTCGTTGTAAGAGAATTTCTACTTACGTTGCACTTTTAGGTCCATCCCGAGAAGAACTTAAAAGTCTTACTCATTAAACTATGCTTAAGTTGATACGAGCACTATGTCTTTATCTAAATACAGTTGTTATGATCACAAAAAATAAGATATATGTTTCGACTAAAACATTCGAGATTTGAATTTTTCGTTCTACAAATTCGTAAGAACCTACTCGACCCTTAAGCAGGTTGGGGGGCGGTGTTCTAAAAAGCCAAGAATCATACAATTTTTTATTGTCTCACTGACCTTGTCTAGACCTCCTATGTGCGGAGCAACGCCTCCTTCCTGTGTGGAGCTGATTTGTCGAGTATTTCATCCGTATAATTATCATTAATGAAACACACTCTTACTAACCCATAAGTCTGGGTTGGTTGGGTCTGAATAGAATTTAGAGTCCAACCTATCTCTATTTTCGGGCTGAGTTGAGTTGTTGTTTATTATTATTATTTTAAAAAGAAACTTAATTAACATATATATGTTATATGAATAACTAAATACGCATGAATATCAAATATCTATGAATTATAATGTATTATTAACATCGGGTTGGATTGAGTTCTGACCCTACTTGAGCAAAAAAAAAAAAAAAAAAATGTCAACCGACCAAAATTAAACTAAATTTTTTATTTTTTAAAAATTCAACCCAACCTAAATTTTAAAAAAAAAAAAAAAAAAAATGTCAACCGACCAAAATTAAACTAAATTTTTTATTTTTTAAAAATTCAACCCAACCTAAATTTTAAAAAAAAAAAAAAAAAAAATGTCAACCGACCAAAATTAAACTAAATTTTTTATTTTTTAAAAATTCAACCCAACCTAAATTTTAAAAAAAAAAAAAAAAAAAATGTCAACCGACCAAAATTAAACTAAATTTTTTATTTTTTAAAAATTCAACCCAACCTAAATTTTAAAAAAAAAAAAAAAAAAAATGTCAACCGACCAAAATTAAACTAAATTTTTTATTTTTTAAAAATTCAACCCAACCTAAATTTTAAAAAAAAAAAAAAAAAAAATGTCAACCGACCAAAATTAAACTAAATTTTTTATTTTTTAAAAATTCAACCCAACCTAAATTTTAAAAAAAAAAAAAAAAAAAATGTCAACCGACCAAAATTAAACTAAATTTTTTATTTTTTAAAAATTCAACCCAACCTAAATTTTAAAAAAAAAAAAAAAAAAAAAATCTAACCTAAATCAATACTAATGATTAAGTTTATCTGGTCCGAAGAACCATGAGGGATAAGATGACCCGGGGTAAAATGGTCATCTTATGAACCATTAGGGGTAAAATGGTCATTTTATAGTGTGAGCGACTTAAAAAGGCTAAATTGGACACTTCACACGCGATGGAAAATGTCCACACGCGATGGGATGCGCGTGGTGTTATAGTAATCGGCCAATAAATAAACGGATAAACTAACTTACCAGAAATTCTGGGATCCCCTAAAATTCGAATTCCCCTCCCGACGCCATTTCCACTATTCACCAAAATCACGAGAGGAATTTATCCATTTTTGCGCCGAAATGCTGTTTGTTGTTTGCGATTGTTGTACCCATTTCATCTTCTTCAATCTTCCATCTGTTTTTTCTGTTCTAATTTCCACCCAAATGCAAATTTCTCGCGGTTCGTTTCGTCTTCCATGAATTTCCCTTCGTCTTCTGTTGAATTTCCCCCCAATCAAGGCATTTTCACCTTTTCCCCTGTTTGTATTCTCTGTATTTTTTAGGAACCATTTAGTTTTTCGTTTTGCCTCATGGAACAAAGAATTGTTGTATTGAGCCCTAATGCGATTACTACGCATTTCGCGCCGTTGTTTGTTAATAGGCGATGCCGAGAAGAAGCTTGGCGATGAATTTGATGATTTTCCTTTACTTTCTTAGGGTCTTTTAAAAGGTGCTCTGTACTTTCTAGGATCTATTGCCAATCTCAGGATTTTTTCCTTTGATGATCTTTTGTGATTAGGATCAATCTCTCGGACTTTTTCTAAACGTAATTGCAGAGTTAAGTTTGTGGGTTGCAACAGCATATGTGCTTGGATTAATCTTTGCTGGACATGTCGTTGAAGTTGCACCATATTGATCTAAAGGGTGGTTCAGGTATTCATTTTCTTTGTTCATTTTTTCATGAATTTGGTGTTCTTGTAAACATTTAGCTTTGATGGAATATAAGTTTTTGGCTAAGAAATTGGGTTTAGAATGGATAACTCAATTGATTTAAGCATATATCCTCAATCAAGGGGTTAGAGATTCGAATATACCTTCCACGTATCGTTGAACTCAAGAAAATAGGTGTAATGATTCTAAGTTCTCATTATTCTTATAGAAACAACTTTGTTTATGGTTAAATTAACATTGATTTTCAAGTTAATCTAATCATTTAGATTATTCTTTTTCTTCGTCCTTTTTTTCGTGAATTTGGTGTGTTCCTGTAAACATTTTAGCTTTGATGGAATATAAGTTTTGGCTAAGAAATTATATTTAGAATGGATAACTATGGTAAGTGTTATGACAATTAAATTAATTTAAGCATATGTCCTCAATCAAGAGGCCAGAGGCCAGAGATTCGAATTATACCTCCTACGTATCGTTGAACTCAAAAAAATAGGTCTAATGATTCTTAAATTCTGATTATTTTTATAGAAACAACTTTTTTTGTTGATGGTTAAATTAACATTGATTTTCAAGTAAGTTAATCTAATCATTTAGATTATTTATTTCATGAAGTATTGGGTTTAATCTTCATTCATGAGATCCAGCAGGTGGGATAGCGATTGAATGCGTGGAAATGAAAAGGGGTTAGGATCAATCTAATCATTCATTCATTTGGAGAAAAATCTAGGTGCTAATATGATATCTTTGCGCGTAAAATCCTCTTCTGACCTCTATGTTCCATCATTGATCAGGTACCCAGAAAAGGCTGAATGATATCTCAGCTCAGTCCACAAATAAGTACTGTGCAGATTGTGGATCTCCAGACCCAAAATGGGTGTAAGCATTCTATATTTCAATTAAACTGAGAGTGTAATGCTTGATTTTTCTATAGAATTTGACACTTGTGAAAGGTGCCATCCTTCCTCAGAAGTTTGAACCATGCTTGTGAGATAGTGTTTACCCCTATCTTGCAAACTTCTTTTTACTCCTATCTTGCCCTCTTTACGATTTGCAACAATTTTTCTTTTATTGGTTAGTGTTCTTGAATTAAGATGATTGTGAGATAGTCCTCTCTTTTTAAGAACTCTTCTGCTGCAATCTAACTCGATCGATTCTTCGTTGGGTTCTTGAATTGTGGGAAAAGTATCTAAGATGAAAGTAACTATATTATTTGATGAAGTTATGAAAGCACCACAAGTGATGTATGTATCTGATCCAATCATTTAACTCAAATTATGTGTTAGCTTTCCCCTAAAGTTCTTGAGACAGTAATAGAGCTACTACCAAAAAGTTCTTTCAATTTTCGCATCTTGGGGTTCATATTTTGACCAATCATTCACTTGTTTGATGCAGATCGTTGAGTTTTGGGGCATTTATTTGCATCAAGTGCTCTGGAGTACACCGGAGCCTTGGAGTGCACATATCCAAGGTGTTTTTCTTCTATACTCTTTATGATCTACTCCTATATTCAACAGCTTTGATTTATATATGCCAAGGCTGGAAGAAATCACTGATGTTTTGATCATATGGCTTGGAGTTCCCTTACTATGAATTAAAATGATTATGATTTGAGAATCAAAATAGCTTTTTCAGTGTTTATAATTGGTTCTGGAATTATGGTAGGTTCTTTCAGTGAAGTTAGATGATTGGACAGATGAACAAGTTGAGGCTTTGATGAGTGCTGGTGGAAATACTGCTGTAAACAAGAAGTATGAAGTTTACATCCCAAAAGGCAACAGAAAACCTAAGCCAGATTCCTCCATAGAGGATCGTCTAGATTTTATAAGGTATATCTTTGTAATGGTATTTTTGCTTTATGTGTAGAAGCAAATATCGCCCAAATGATATAATGATTACATGTTGGCTGCACAGGAAAAAATATCAGCTGCTGCAATTTGCAAGCTTTGATGACCAGTTTTTCTGTGCTTTTCCACCCACGGAGAAGAGAACTGTGTCATTCTCCAATACCACTTCGAAGGACAATGGAAACCAAGAAAAGCGAAATAATGATAAACAACCAACAAAAAGTCGAATTGGAAATGCATTCCGGAATAGCTGGGGAAGAAAAGATTCTGAACGTAGGAGCTGCAAGAAGGGAAATTCATTGGTGTTAAGCAATTCAATGGTAAGGATCATTGGAAGTAATTAATTTCTAAGTGAAACAATCTATTACGGCCCAAGTTTACCGCTAGTAGATATTGTCTTTTTTGGACTTTTATTTCGGGCTTCCTCTCAAGGTTTTTAAAACGCCTCTACTAGGGAGAGGTTTCCACATCTTTATAAAGAATGTTTCGTTCTCTTCTTTAACTGATGTGGGATCTCACAATCCACCTCCTTTCGAGCCTAGAGTCCTCGCTAGCACTCGTTCCCTTCTCCAATTGATTTGAGACCTTGCTGTTACTTCACTATGTATGTTGTTAACTACAAGGATTTTGCATATTATCTTGCCAATGTTCTATACTCGTCATGTCTATGTCGCGCATTACTGGGAGTTTCTTGGAGTATACGTCATGTGTCTAGTATAGAATATACACAAGAATTTCCACTTAGCTGCTATGTTACATTTGATCTTATTGCTTCGACTGTACCATTTGCAGGCAGGTATGGTTGAATTCGTTGGTTTAGTTAAGGTGAACGTGGTTAGAGGAACCAATTTAGCTGTGAGGGACGTCATCACGAGCGATCCGTATGTAATTCTCTCGTTGGGGAATCAAGTGAGACTCCCTACTGAACTTTTCTCATATTTTCATTTCTTTAGGGATGCTGAATCACCTGGATTCACCTGTTCTTTGATGCCTTTTAGTCAGTGAAGACTCGTGTTATAAAGAGCAGTTTGAACCCAGTCTGGAATGAAAGCCTAATGTTGTCTATTCCAGATTTCGTTCCTCCATTAAGGGTGGTAAGTTGATTGTAAAATTTGTCCAAAATCATTGTGGAATTTGAGTTAAATATCTTGATTACATTGAATAAGAGCTTGAAGTAACTCTGTGCAGCTTGTATATGACAAAGATACGTTTTCAACCGATGATTTCATGGGTGAAGCAGAAATTGATATCCATCCGCTGCTCTCCGCAGCCCAAGCTTGTGAGAAGTCCACAGCCTGTGAACCCATGCAGCTAGCAAATTGGGTTGCAGGCAAGGAGAACACTCTTGCAAAGGATGGCATCATCAGTCTTGTGGATGGGAAGCTACGACAAGACGTCTCCTTGAAGCTGCAGAACGTCGAGAGGGGCGTGCTGGATATGGAGCTTGAATGTCTTCCCCTTTCTCAGTAGCTGTTCATTCCTCCATCATCCTAAACTCCTATCAAACCTGACATTAGGTAACTATTGACCAATCTGAACATAACTTAACTCGTAAAGACATATTCTCGATCAAATCGTCAGAACTTTGATTCTTCCATCTCGCTCATTTTGAACTTGAAAAAGTATTAGGAAACCATAGATAGAGCTCGTTTTGGAGATCACGTCAAATCAATGTACAAACGAACGACCTGTGTTGAAGAACTATTGTCTCTGCTACAATATCCTTAGAGCATGTATTCTCATTAACATTAACCCCTTGTAATGTTTCTGTAAAGTGTATTCTATGTGGTGTTGAGGAACATTCTACAGTTTGTTAATATGATGGAAAGGAGCAAGAACTTGGCCTTTTCTTGTACTTGGAAAACCAGAAATATGAAAAACAAGACGACTCTCTATCGACAAAAATGATTGTCTATTCCAAAATCGCTTTCAAAATGTCCTAAAACAAAACGCTTATTCATAGTAATGTTTTCAAATAAGAAAATTTTCTCTAATGTTTTAGCTAATCCGAGCATAATTTTCGAGTTGAGATCTTGAGGATCATAGCTATGAGGCAGAGAGATTACTGATGTAATTGATATCTGTTTCTAATATCAGACAAGAACTTGGTTTCAGCATTCATAATAACAGCTTCAAACCGAGCTTTTAGTTTCGATCCTCTAAGAAAAAAAGTTACAGAGTTTGCACTCAGAATAGATTAGAAAGCAAGCAACTGCAGACTACTTCAACATCTCAGCCAAAACATACTCTTTACGTATCAATGGTAAACTTTTTCAGATGAGAAAGCATGAACAATGGCGTTTTCACCATATGAAACAAGAACAAGAACAAGAACAATTTGATCTATCTAAGAGAAGGTCACACAGATGAAAGTAATTCAAAACGAGCACTCCCATGAAGACGAGCCTAAAAAACATGAGTAAGTGTTACCTCGTAGATAATCCGGGAAGGAAATCTTACATTCTGTGAGCAAAAACACAAACATATGAATTAATAAGAGCTATAAACACAATCAAATTTAAAGATCGATATCGATATAGATATAGATATGGGTATGAAACAACAAAGCCTTTTAGTAAGAATACATCAATTGCAACCACTGCAAATTGGCGTTGGCAAATAGCACTAGATATTTACATACCCATTGAGGGGAAATAATCTCCCCTATAACAGGTCAAATGAAAAAAGGAAACCCAGAAGAAAAAACATGACTCATTACCAAGATGCTGTTCATAAAGTACATGAACACCAGTACCCAATTGATGAACACTTGGCTAAACAATAAACCATTAACCAAAGAGTTCAAACTCCAAACTTATGTAGGCACATCCAAAATCAATAATGTGAGGGTTCAGTGATTATTTATCAACAACAAAGCATGTGAAATACACACCGAAGAACATCGGTTGGTTTGTTCGTTCGTTCGCTCGTTCATTCCTTCCGAGGTATAATTCAGGAAGCACATTCAGGACATCGAGTTAATCCATTTTCATTGCAATCTAAGCACCTCTTCAAGACGTGTTCATCTTCATCAAACACCTTCTTGCTCCCACTGCAGGTCATACAAGGAACAAACCTTACATCCCCACAACCCTCACACACGAACCCAGGTTCCTGAATCGGGAACCCCTCGAGAATCTTCATCAATTCTCCAGCTTCAAAGAGTTGTTTGATCACCTCGGCTCCTCCCACATGCTTGCCCCTAATAAACACTTGAGGCAAACTCACATTCTTCTCGCCAAAAACACTCTGCAACTCTTTCTTGTACGCAGAATCCATAGAAATGTCCCGCTCATCCACCCAAACCCTAAAACCTCGGAAAATTATCCTCACGGCATAGCAATCCTCATACGTCCTTCGAATTCCTCGTAAACTGGTTAAGTAAACAACAATTCTATCCTCAGTACCAGGTAATCGAATGGAAGGAATCCGGAAATCAGATGCAAACGATTTGGCGGATTTTAGCTTGCTTTGAATTTGATGATGCGATCCTTCGGCAGGCGTAGGAGGAGACTTACCGCCCTCGAATATATTACACAATTGCTTGACCTTCCCTTTAATCGAATTGCTGGCGGATTTCATGGTTTCAAAAGGGCTATTGTAATATTTCTTGACAGAATCCATCCGATTGAGCGAGGATCGAAAATAGGGTTTCATAGGGGAATCCATGGAGGATGAATGCAATGTATGGGATCGATTGAAGAAGGAGGACTTGAGTTTTTCCGAAAATTGCATAGTTCGATCAAATTCCGCCATGAAGCCACAAAAGGAAATGGAATTAACTGGAAATCCAATGAAAATCAGAGGGAAAAGAAGCGAAAAACGTGAAAATCAGAGGGGAAATCGATGAATCGTGAACCAGAATAGAGGTGGTGGTTTTTGGTATTATGAGAAAAAACTGAATCGCCCTGTTTAGGTAAGGGAGGGAAAACGGTGGAGTATATGCGTAGATGCGTATATTCGTAGCTAGTAAGCGAAGAATCGAAGAATGTTGTTGGAAACCCTTATTTCTAATTTGTAGATCAATAGATAGAGAGAGAAATGGAGCTTTTCCGGTGGAAATCAAATAGCGTATGGCTATGGCTATGAATTAAGAGAGAGAAAGAGGAGTTTTGATTACCTTTTTGAAATGAATACGCGGCGGCAGGCTTTCTTCTTCCTTCTTCTTCTCTCTTTCATGGCTTTCTCTCTCTTCTTTCTCTCTCCTCACTGTAAATGATCTGCTTCATCTCTCTCACCTCATTCACCGCCATTAACTTCCACTCCTTTGCTTATTTATTTATGCCTCCCATTCTACATTAATTTATTATTATTTTACTAAATTAATAAAATTATAATTCACAAATAAATAAAACTATAAATACTTTATTTATTTTAATCTCTTTATTAAATATTTTTTAAGTTTACAAATTAAATATACAGTTGCAAAATTACATAAAATAGGATTTAAATTTCATTTATTAAAAACTAAGTTTTCCATTATTATATTATTTATTATCCATAAAATTTCCCCATAATTCTAGGGAATTAATCAAAATAATTAATATATAATTTAAATATATTATCCATACAATTCTTTTTTAATAAAAGTAAAGTAATAATTGCAATTATAAATAAGAATTATAGACCTCGTATAACAAGTCTATTTTTATTTTTTATTTTCTTAAATTACACGATTTTCAGTTTATTTATTTTTTTAATTTAATTTAATTTTTTTTATCATAATTGAATATACAGGAAAACTTTATTTTTACCAATTTTTTTTTTTAGTTTTTAAAAAATTAACAGTAACAAAATAAAAGTTGAAGTTGTGACTCTTTCGAAATTCGAATGAATCTTTAAATTTCGATATCTTGGTCTATATTGCGTAATAAGTTATGAAGTAACGTTTCTTAGAATCGTAATAAGGAGATCTATAAATTTGTAGAAGGAATCTGGAAAATTGTGCAGAACTGCAAGAAAGAAAAAGAGGCGCGTGGGAGTCTGCGAGTGAGAGCGCGGCTGTATGTAGGTCAGGCGCTTGAGATAAGCACATCGAGCGTGTGCAGGCGCGTGAGAGCACGTGTGATGTTATTTTGCTTTATCCCGTTCGAATTCTTTTGACCTGTTCCACCAAGATTGACGTATACCTACCTTGAAAACTGTGAAATATAAGTCTAATCGGAAGAAATTGTGTTGAAATATCATTTAAACGTGGAAAATGAGTATTATAAATAATTACTGGAATGTTCTGTGTGTCGAGTATTATAAATATATGAAAGCATGCATTAGATGTGAGTATGCTATCCATGTTAACGGAAAGGTTATGACTCTAAGATATGCTTATAGATTGTTGAGTCATGTCCTATTTATATGAGTATTGTAGTCTACTAATTCCCGCAGAGTTCCTGATCAACACGTTGTGTGCTAAGTTAGAGAGAATGAGTACTCCTGATCATTGGTATATGAGATATACAGGCCGCCAAAGAAATTAGTAGACAAGTCGTATTTGACCGAGAGCGAGTCTTACATACGAGTCTGAAATTCAAGATAAGCATATAGAGAGAGTCAGTAACCTAAGCTGGAGGTAGGTGAGATACCTCATTATTGAACATATGACCGTGGTAAAAGAAATTATGAGTCAATGTCGAATCAAACTTAAAAACACCGGTAAAGATTAATTATAACTTATAAAACATAAGTTAGGGGTTAATTTAATTACTCATCAAAATTGTTTTAACTTTTCTTTCCGATCAACAAGGACTAGACCACCAGCTAGAGACTATAGGGAATCCATGTCTGGGTCTGTTTGCGTAGTTATGCTTTCCCTGTCAAAAATTTACTTTGGTTGTTTTAAGTTTTAAATCGTACTTGATGTTTTTAAAATATTTTGAAATTTATGAGTGGTTGTCAGAGTGCATTGTCGATGTTAGTGGTAGCTCCTATGAATCGCGTTAACGATGAGCGGGTGTTTCAATAAAACTATTGTTACTCATGACTACAAGCACCGCCTCCCGTTACAGCCTTCGTATGCCCTTGTCGAAACTTAAAAACATTTGTAAGAAATGATGAATATTTAAATTACTAAATAAGAAACATCTTATTGAGTTATGTAAATTCTGGTACGCTCTGATCAACGATCCTACAAATTCTTCTCTTCAACATAAGTCTATTCTTCTTAAGCATATCATTCACGATGGTAGATCATGGAAACATATACACTCCATCCTCAAGTTTTTCCATGACCTCGATCGATCTATATCTATTATCAATTTCGACTTGCCATTTAGTAAAGATAATCCGTTTTTCGAGATTTGTGGTCAATCTCATGGTTTGGTTTGTCTATCGCACGATAAAGATGTTTTCCTCTTGAATCCGACGACTACAGAGTTCCGTAAACTCCCTTCGTCGATTCTTCACTACACTGGACCTGATCATGAACTTCATTCTTGGAACTCAAAGACGGTTGGGTTCGGATACGATTTCAAATCTAGAGATTTCAAAGTGGTTAGGGTTGTAGAATTTGTGCACATATACGATTCAGATGGTCCAACTAAAATGGAAATTTATGATTTGAGAAAAGATAGATGGAGGGAAATTGAATCCCATTTCTCTGACCATTTAATGTCGATATGTTCTTTTGATATGTATCGTGAAGGAAAATATTATTGGTGGTCACATAATATGATACAAACGTTCGACATGAGCGAAGAAGTTTTTGACGAAATTTCAATACCGGACAGTTTAGCACATGTGAATAAGGCGTTTATAACTATTGGGATTTTGAATGGAAACATTGTTATATTTCGTATATTTTACCATCGAATAATAGAGAACGAAAAGGACATATTGTTTCATGGTCAAAGCTATTAGTTTAAAAATGAAATTTTAAAAAAATTGATTACAAATTTTATAATTTTTTCTAAATTATTTTAAAGACCAATGAGATAAAATGAAATAAAAAATTATAATTTTTTTATTTTTAAATATGTTAAATGAATAAAATTCTTTATTTATAATAAAAAAAAATCATAAATTAATTAAACGGTGATTATTTTGGAAAAAATGTATAATTTGATTTAGTGTAAAAATATCTCTCTTTCAAATATATATTAGTAATAAACTGATATGTTGTTTATTCGGTGCAGATACTTATATGGATGATGTGTGCTTTTCCGAGCTAGCTTTTCTGCGTGTTGGGAGCTCCAAAATTTTTGAAATCTCTCTCATGCGATTTCACGTGCACATTCGACTCTTTCATCAAAATTTCTAGAATCACAAACGAGTTTCAATTTCTTTATATTTTCTTTAAATTTTCATAACTCTCTCTACCCAACTTGAATTAACTTAGTTTCTTCGTGATAAGGGTAGACTTTTAATCAATGTTTATTATGGCAATAATAGTAAGAAGTAATTGAATTCAAATTTGGTTAAAAAACTCAATTCCAATAAGAACTCTTGAAATTGAAGAAAAACAGCAATCAAGAACTCGAAAATCATATTACTTCTTCTTTCTCGATTCTTGATGGAATTGACTGATTCAAAAGCCGAGAATGACTCTCTCGAAGCCACCGAGCAATTCTTATGAAAAAACTCTAGCTAAATTCCAACTCCAAAGGACGGTTTAGAGTGGATTTTGACTTTCTCTTTTACTCGAGAATCTATCCATTTAGTTCCATTGAACTGAACATAAACTAATATAATTGTTGAATATATACCTTAAAAAAAAAATTGTTAAAGAAGTATATTATTCAATACATTTAATGAATTGTAAAATATATATTTAATATTTGAAACAACATAATAAATACATTTTCTTATTTCTTGATAAAGGGGGTAAAAAAATCAATCTTCCAAACATATATACAAATATGAAGAGGTTAGTTCATTCAAAGGCCTACAATAACACCCAACAAAGCCAAACAAGGTATTTGCAGTGAGAAAGAGAAAGGCAAGAAAGAAGCAAAGAGAAGTTGGGAAGAAGAATCAAACTTTAGCTCCAAGTAAGATCATCAACATGTCCTTGTAGTCCCCAGATGTGTCACCAATCACGTCTTTCTCGAGGTTGCTTTTGAACATCTTGGAATACTCCTCTCTAATTTTCATTGTGTCTATCTCTGCTCGACTTACGATGGCTCGGGTTAGAGAATCTTCATCCGTTCCAAGCCCAACAATGGCCTTGTGGATTACCTGCACCAAAAATTTCACAATCAAAACAAAGCTTCAAAGTTCAAGAACCAAAATGGAACGAGTTTAAAATGAAACAATCCTATCGTTATAAGAATCACTTGTGATTTAAACCTATAAACTTTTTGTATCGATGGGTTCTTTTTTTTATTCCTCCCTGAAATGAACTTTTAAGAAAAAAAATTGAAAATAAAGGGTAAAACTAACTATAACAACCCAAACTCACGCGATATTATACTCTTTGAACTTTTTTTTTCATGCTTCCTCTTACGATTTTTAAAGCTCGTGTGCTAGAGAGAGGTTTCCACACCTTATTAAGAATGTTTCGTTCTCCTCTTCAACCGAGGTAGGATCTCACAACAACCTAAAAGCGAGAAGGAAAGAACCTCTCACCTTTGCAAAGTGTTTTTCAGGACTGTCAATGCACCAGACGGCCATTTTGAAGAGAGATTCTAAATCACTGGTTCCACATTTCATAATGTCCTGTAAACGAAAAGCATAGTTTGAACTTCCAAGAGGGTAAATGAAAAGACAAAAAGAAGAGGAAAATTTAACCATTTGTTTATTAAAGGCTGAACCTGATCAATCGGGTTTCCATACTTTTGCTTATAGCATGCAAAGGTTGCTCTAAGTTGAAAGAAATTCCTTGTGCTGAGTATCCAAATGACGCCGTTGCGGTTGATTTGCTTCACTTTGATAGCATCGTGTAATAAATCTGATTCAGAATCGGCAACGAAACTTTCCACCACCTCTTTATCATGCCTGAAGGAACTCACCAAACCAACTAGAAGCTACACAATATCCAAAACAAAACGTTTTTCAAGGTTACAAGTCCCTGGAATCTCTGTGCTGAGAATTGCAACCTCAACAGTATATAATGCATTTGGCAAGAAGAAAAATGAATTGTCTCTTAAAGAGTTTTTCAAAGATATTTGACAAGCATGTGACATTCAATGAAGCAAAATGGTTAGCCTAACTAAAACACAATGTCTCAAACAGCCACTAACTTCCAAGCAACTTATATATATCAGTTTGTAGCACCCAACACTAATGGCAAAAGGGTCTGGGTTTAAGTCTACACCTAACAAATATTGTCTATTTTGGCCCGTTACGTATCGCCGTCAGCCTTACAATTTTAAAACACGTCTATTAGGGAGAAGTTTTCACACCTTTATAAGGAATACTTCATTCCCCTCTCTAATCGATGTGGGATCTCACAGTCCACCTCTTGAGGCCCAACATTCTCGCGGCACACCGTCCACTGGTTGGTTTTTATACCATTTGTTGTAACCGCCAAAGCCCATCAGATATTGTATGTTTTGGCCCAGCCTCATGATTTTAAAACGTATTTACTAGGGAGTGATTTCCACCCAATTATAAGGAATCTAAACTTTTCCCCCTCCAATCGATGGGCAGTTTCATTTTTCATTTTTTGCTTTTGAGTTTGTTCAATGACAGTTTGTTGAAACAGGTATTAGAAAACTACGGTTTCAGAATTAAAATTTTGCTAAGATTTGGAAAATATTTCAAAACGAAAATCATAAAACCAAAAGGATTTTGAGCAGCCAACATGCTTAACATTATAAAAACCAAGTCGAGAGTTGAGATTATGAGACAGCTTTCAGGCATTTTACCTTCCTAAGGGGCATGGAGACGGAGGAGAAAATGTCTTCTTCAAGCGAGCAATCATAGAGAGAACAGTAGGCCTGCCTTACGGCCATCAGATGGTGAGGGGATGTGGCACACGCAATCTCCACTAATACTTGAAGCTCATGGATGCCTTTCTTGTATGACCTCAAAGCTTCATGTGCCATTCTTGCATCCCTCTCAGCAGGATCATATGCCCACAAAACCGCCGCTTTCTGCTCATAAAAATCTTTAGCTAGAGATGGATAAGGAAAAAAAAAGTACATGGGGGTATAAACTGGCTACTCAATTTCAGCTTTTACTTTTACTAGAACATGATATAATGTTGATATACTGTTGAGGTTGCAATTGCCTCTATACAATTGGAGGAACTTTTGTTGAGAGACTTTATAGTGTGAGAGTGTGAGATACTTATAAACACTTTGGTTATAGTGATTGGCTATCATTCATGGATGTAGGAGAATTTCTTCTCTCCAACCAGGTAAATCTTTGTGTCTCTTTATTTATTTTCTATTTGTGGGTGTGTGAGTTCTATTGATCTTGCTTCCACTTTTACTACAACGATTAGATATCAAAACATTTTGTTTGTTGCATTCTGCTACAATAAAGGTGGTGGCATCTGTGCAATTTGTTTCTTCCATATACCAATGAAACTCAAGACTAGAAATCTAAATAAGAATGAAGTGTTGATGGGTATTGAATGTGATGAAAGAGCAATCGGAAATGACATCTTTTCTGCAAATGTAACAAACTTACTCTAAAATCACCAGAGAGTTCAGAATTGATGCGATCAATGAGAGACTCATTGTATAGCTCGAGATAAGTCTCTCTAATTGCTTTCCTCTGGGCAGCATTTCTTTGTCCTAATATCCTTATCAAGGCTTTCTCATCGGTTCCCCATCCTAACTCATCATGAGACATAAAAAATCAATAAGAACAACATTATTTTAAAAATTAAGAGCGAGTTGAAATGATAATTAATGTTTGATCGCCCCCTTTCAAACTAAACTTTGACAAAAAGAAAAAAAAAAAAAAAAAAAAACTGTTTTCCATTATTCTAAAATCCGCTGAAATTCTAAAATATTTTCCACAAATAAAAAAAATAAAACAGACACTGAATGAGAATAAATAGGAATTCTGTCTTCACTGATAAACAAGGAAGGCAGCTAAATAAAAGCCAAATGGATGAATACAGCAAATAATCCAACACGTGGCACTATACAATTGGTCATCCCTGATTAAATAAATCATACAATGGAAAATAATAAGCAGAATTAAATATTTATATTTAATGTCTAAAAATTGAAAATAAATAAATAAATAAATCAAATAAGATGAGGAAAATAAAACTGCATCCAAGCAATGAGCCGAAGAGTTCAACAATGTCTTGAAATCGAAAGAAGCGGATGAACTTCTATTCAAACAAAATCAACGCATTGGACTCAGTTTTCAGCAGAAAAATCAAACTCAAACAAAAACATACGGAATCCACAGATAAATTAGCGAAACATCGCGAAAGATAAATAAAATCAAAATGTTGAAGAGTTCATCGAAATCAACCATCGAAAGCTTTCTTGAGAGTATCGCAGTCGTCGGCGGGAGAAGGAACAATCTCCGGCACTCTCACAGTTCCCATATTCTCCGTCAGAAACCTCTCCTCTTCCGACGAGAAAGAATGACCGGAATCCGATTTCGACGATTTCGACGATTTCGATTTCTTCCACGAGAAGCTCTTGAACGAGAAACTGCTCATTTTCGGAGCTTTGTAATTGCTAACTGATAATGAAACAAATTTTCTCTCTGTTTTCCGTGTTTCGTTTTTTCCCTCTCAAACTTCGCTACAACGCAAAATAGCAGATTTTGTTTTCGCCATTCTGTTTTTTATTCCGTTTGACGAAAATACCCTTTCACCCCCCTTCTGATTTCGACTCCATTTCTTAGTCTTTGCAAAGAAGGGCTTGCGTAGAATTTTCTTTCCCTTGAGCCCTCAATGTCTTGGAAATTACACGAAGCGGCCGTGTTTTATGGGATATTTCGATGGGTGATAATTTAGTTTCTGTATAGTTGTGTACTAAACTGCAAAGAAAGTGACAGGTTGGATGCCACGTTTTTCTGAAGGTGTTAAATTTGGGTCCCAACAAGAAAAATCAACGATGGAGATGTTTTTATTCAACTGCTGACGTTGGCGCCAGCTGTAATGAGTTGATGTTTGGGACAACAAATTGTAATAATAACAAAAAAAAAAAAAAAATTATCAAATTATTTCCTCAATTACAAATATTTATATTTTAAAAAAATAATATTACTCTTTATTTTTTTATAAGCATTTATATTAAATATATTAAAATATCAAACAAAAAATTCACAGTCATTTTTATAACAAGACCGTGATTAAAGATAATATTAATTAATTATTTTTAAATATATTTTGGTCATTTTTATAGTTATTTTTTTATTTTTTTATTCCATTTGAGTTTTTTTTTTTTTTTTTTTTTTT